TGTGGTACATACACACAATGGAATATTATGCCACATTGAAGAATAACAAGGAAGCGGCAAGCTTTCAAGAGGGAACCTAGAGCTAGGGGGCATGGAGGAAAGCAGAATCACCAGTGGGTACTATCCAATCTGTCTGGGTGGAGCTGATAAAATGAAATACAAATGGGTAACTCGTGATACTGTAGTGAATAATGTTTATCAGGACTGACTGTGAGGGTTGGAAATGCAAAGATAGACATTTTGTAGCAAGGAAAGGGGTGATTCATTCTCTAGTCTAGGAGCGGAGGTCTCTGGGACCATCATCAGAGAAGAGCTGAGAGCGGGACCATACCTGGAGAAGCAGAGATGCCTGAGATAAGAGACAGAGACGATGACGTGGAGTGATGAAGCGGCTGGAGACTATGGATCCAGAGAGGGAGAGGGACTGTGGGCCAAAGACCGGGGGGGGACAGGGGAAAGATTGCAGGGTATACCCTTTGGTCGGTTGATGATGCATGGAGGGGATTGGAACCATGGCAATGAAATGATATATGATGGAATGAATGTAAAACTAAAGTTCTCCATGTAAACTATCATATAATTCACAATAAAACATTAAAAAAAAAAATTAGACTGGATACTGCAGTCTATAATCACAGAAAAGGGAGAGGGGGGAAGGAAGGTGAAAAAAATTATCTGGAGTCTAATATGAGTATAGGATCTCTGGTAGCGTAGTGGTTACGAATTGGGCTGCGAACCACAAGGTCAGCAGTTCGAAACTACCAGCTGCTGCGTGGGAGAAACAGGAGGCATTCTGCTCCTGTAAAGTTTAACAGCTTCGGAAACACTGTGCAGGGTTACTATGAGTTGGAACCGACTCCACGGCACATCACAACAACCACATGAGTATGACTTTCATGTCCTCTTTCAGCTTCTTGCCTTCAAAGCTGCCTAAGAGATTTCAAGATGCCACTGTTGGTTGTTATGCTGTACCTCAGGATTTAATTTAATTTTCGGCCTGTTTTGTTTTTAAACTCTCTTTCACACTTGACACCCCTTGTTTTCTGGCCTTTGCCAAATTGAAAAAAAAAAAAAAAAATTCAGGGCCTACTCTTGTGCTAAGGGTATCTGTGCGCATGTTCGGGAGTCCAGCTCTCGCAGGGTCACGGGACACGAGAGGAGACGCGGAGTCGGCGAAAATGAAAGCAATCGAGAAGCCTCTGATTAGTTGGCTGATGGGGCTCTCTCTTTTTCTTCTCTTTCTGCCCCGGGTCAGCAAGTCTTTATTTTTATACTCAAAATTACACAGTACAAAATAATTTGATACTTTGATTTTCCCTTCAAGTATTACACAGATTTAATTATAACATTCCTTCACCCTGTGATCATACAACCTTAACAAAAGTATTTCTGTGATATCCAAACTGACCTTTCCTATATCCTATTCATTTTTTAACTATTGAACATATTCCTTTTGACATTATCTCCTCTCCTACGTCAGTGATAAATTGCTTCTTATTATTTCTACTAAAAGATCAAGTTAAACTTTACACAAATCATTTCCACTTATCAGGCTGTGGAAATCTGGGCTGAGAATGTGAGTTCTCTGTGTCTTCTCTGATGAGGGAATAATGTATGTGGCTTGGACTACAGCTCTGTGTGAAAGTAATGTTTACTACAAAAGACTAAAGCATCATGGGAGAGGATTGGCAGAACCACCTGCCCACTTCAGGAACCCTTGGACTTTCTCGACATCTTCCCTTGACACGAAAATGGAGGACCTGCTTACCCACTTGTTTCTGTGCTCCTCACTCTCAGGGACTTGCTCTGAAGCCTCTCAAAGCTGGGGAGATGGAGGTGTGTGTTGGCAGTATTTTCTTCTCCTGTCCAATGAGGTGTGACTTATCACCAAAGTCTCACCCACACTCCCTACAGACATAGGGTTTCTCCCCTGAGTGTGTCCTCTGGTGTACAGTGAGGACTGACTTACAGCTACAGACTCATCCACACTCCCGGCAGACATAGGGCTTCTCTCCTGAGTGTGTCCTATGGTGTACAGTGAGGAGTGACTTCTGACTAAAGCCTCTCCCACACTCCTTGCAGATGTAGGGCTTCTCACCTGAGTGTGTCCTCTGGTGTCTAATGAGGTGTGACTTCCGACTAAAGCTTCGCCCACACTCTTTGCAGACATAGGGTTTCTCCCCTGAGTGTGTCATCTGGTGTCTAATGAGGTTTGATTTCTGACTAAAGCTTCGTCCACACTCCCTGCAGACATAGGGCTTCTCCCCTGAGTGTGTCCTCTGGTGTGTAACGAAGTCTGACATCTGGCTAAAACCTCTCCCACACTCCCTGCAGACACAGGGCTTCTCCCCTGAGTGTGTCATCTGGTGTACAGTAAGGACTGAATTCTCACTAAAGCACTGCCCACACTCCCTGCAGACATAGGGTTTCTCTCCCGAGTGTGTACTCTGGTGTCTAATGAGGTGTGACTTTCGGCTAAAGCTTCGCCCACACTCTTTGCAGACATAGGGTTTCTCCCCTGAGTGTGTCCTCTGGTGTCTAATGAGGTGTGACTTCCGACTAAAGCTTTGCCCACACTCGTTGCAGACATAGGGTTTCTCTCCCGAGTGTATCCTTTGGTGTCTAATGAGGTCTGACTTCTCACGAAAGCCTCGCCCACACTCTCTGCAGACACAGGGCTTCTCCCCTGAGTGTGTCCTCTGGTGTATAATGAGGTATGATTTCCGACTAAAGCCTCGCCCACACTCCTTACAGACATAGGGCTTCTCCCCTGAATGTGTCCTCTGGTGTATAATGAGGATTGATATCTGGCTAAACCCTCGTCCACACTCCTTGCAGACACAGGGCTTCTCTCCTGAGTGTGTCCTTTGGTGTATAATGAGGATTGATTTCTGACTAAAGCCTCGTCCACACTCCCTGCAGACATAGGGCTTCTCCCGTGAGTGTGTCCTCTGGTGTATAATGAGGTTTGATTTCTGACTAAATCCTCTCCCACACTCCCTGCAGACATAGGGCTTCTCCCCTGAGTGTGTCCTCTGGTGTCTAATGAGGATTGATTTCTGACTAAAGCCTCGTCCACACTCCCTGCAGACATAGGGTTTCTCCCCAGAGTGTGTCCTCTGGTGTCTAATGAGGATTGATTTCTGACTAAAGCCTCGCCCACATTCCCTGCAGACATAGGGCTTCTCCCCTGAGTGTGTCCTCTGGTGTCTAATGAGGATTGATTTCTGGCTAAAACCCTGCCCGCACTCCCTACAGACATAGGGCTTCTCCCCTGTGTGTGTCCTCAGGTGTGTAATGAGGTGTGATTTCTTAATAAAGCCTCGTCCACACGCCCTGCAGACATAGGGCTTCTCCCCTGTGTGCGTCCTCAGGTGTGTGATAAGGCTTGACTTAGCACTAAAGTCTTGCCCACACTCTCTACATGTAACTTTTGCAATTCTTGGGATTCCTTTCCCCGGGAATAATTTGCCTGTGTCCTCAGCATTCATTCTCTGGCCTGGGCATGGGTCTGTCTGCGTCATTCTGTTAGCCTCCCTAGAACT